TATTTTTCTTTTTCTCTTTATTTCTTTCTCACTTTTTTTATTCTCACTTCTCGCTTTACATCTCTCTTTTTTTTTCTATCATTTTCTTACTCTTTCTCCTCTTTTTAATCTTCTTTTTTCCCAGCCTCCCCCTTTCTCCTTCTCTTTCTTCCCTCTTCCTCCTGCTCTCCCCATCCATCCAGCCCCCACCACGGGGCCCACGGATGGAGCATGACCGCAACACCCCAGTGCTTGGGTGTGGGGGGGTGGATGCTGCAATATTGAGGTGGGGAAGGTGCCCAGAGCCCCCCAGTACCCCCTTATCTGTCCTCCTTGTGTCATAAGAGGGTCTCCCCATCTGCTTCCATAAGGATGGAGCTGTGGGGCTGGGAAGTGCTGGTGTGGGACCCTGACTCTGCTCTCCATGGCAGGGAGTGAGGTGTCCCAGGAGAGCCTGCTCCTCCACGGCCCCTTCGCCCGGAAACCCAAGCGCATCCGCACCGCCTTCTCTCCGTCTCAACTCCTGCGGTTGGAACGGGCCTTCGAGAAGAACCATTACGTGGTGGGCGCCGAACGCAAGCAGTTGGCCAGTAGCCTCAGCCTCTCCGAGACTCAGGTACCTCCTGACAACCTCCCACTACCCACCTCACAGCCATCAGTCCCACTATCCATCCATCCATCCACTTGTCCATCTACCCATCCATCCATCCGTCCATTCATCCACACGTCCATCTACCAATGAATCCAGCCACCCATCCATCCATCTACCCATCTATCCACCCATCCATCCATCCATCTACCCATCCATCCATCCACCCATGGGTGGGAGCAGCTCAGCATGGGGCAGCAGAGACATTGGGGTTGTGCTCCACAAAATCCCACCTGGATTTATCCAGGAACCCCACATGGAAATCGTGACCGACTCGTGCGGGTTGAGCAGATTTAGGGTTTGGTTTGAATTTTTTACGGCAGCGTTTGGTGGTTACGGTTGTTCCCGGCGAGGTTTGAGGTTGGGAATGGAGATCTCGCGTCGTGCCGCTCTCCGGAGCGGGTTTCCTGGTGTTATTTCTTCTTTAGGATATAATATAATATATAAAATTTTAAAAATCCAATTAAAAAAGGAGCAGCAATGTGAGACCTTTCCCTGGAAAACTGCAAAAATACCCCTGGGTCGTGCAGCTTTTGGTGTTATCCACAAACATCGTGGTTTTCCAATCCCAAAAATCAGGATTTTTATTTTATATTTATTTTATTTCAGCTGCAACTTTTTGATTTTTCAAAAAAGACATTTCCCAAATGTTTAGAAAAGTTGAAATCCAGGAGGATCATAAGCAAGAAAAGAAAAAAAAAAAACCCCACAAACTCAAAACCCAATAATTTGTAGGAAGTTTTCTCCCAAATTCTGACTGAGATACTTTGGCCTCGATTTAATTTGAATTTGGATTTTATTCTTTAATTCAATTGGGAAATAAAACCAGAGCTGTGGATGTTGCTGGTACCTGGTTCATCCTCCCCCAGGCTTTGCCAAGCAAAACCTCCACAATTTTGACAGGGATAAAAAATGTCACCATCACGGGGACAGCGGGAAACCGATATCGGATCCCCCAAAAATCCAGAGGCTGTTTGTACGCTGCTGATATCCCGACCCCCCCCTTAAATCCCCATGGATCTGGCTTGATCCGTGCTGCTTCTGTCACCTAAAAATGATGTTAAAGGAGGAAAATCAAATGAAAATATAGCAAAACAACAACTCAAAGGTCAAAGAACAAGCAGGAACTTGGCCGGGTGGCTGCGGGATGCCCGAGGGGGAGCTCAGCGATTCCTTCGGATTTTACATCGTTGCCCGGAGCTGAAATGCAATAAAACAATTTATTGAGGAAAAAGCAGAGGCACCCGTCCCACAATCCGGGTGGGGATCTCGAAATGGAAAGAGAAAAAGGAGAAAATAGAAATATAGAGATTTTAAAATATTTTTTAAGGTGTTGTAGGACAGTATTTCCAGATTTTTGGAAAGCTGCTCGGTTATTCATCACCTGCGGACAGGGTGACGGTGACACCGGCTCTCAGGGTGGGGAAAAGCATCAGGATGGGGACCGGGGGTGACAGGAAAGTGTCCCCAAAAGCAGCAGCAGTTGGCAGGAGGGACCCGTGGAGTGACAGCAAAGATTTTTCCTCTTTTGACTTTGTAGTTTTAAAAAAATAATATTAAAAAATTTAAATTAAATCTTCTTTTAAATATTTGAAGAGAAATAACTTCCATGTGTAAGAGGGATGTGACAGGGGATGGGCACCAAAGTGCGGGGTGGGAGAGCAGCCTGACTGGTGCAGTGCCAAAATCTATTATTATAATAATTATTATTATTATTATTATTATCATCATTATCATTATTATCATTATTATTATCATCATTATCGTTATCATCGTTATCATTATTATTTATCATTATAATTATCATTATTACGATTACTATTATTGCGTTTCCATTTATTTATTTCATTACCATTAACAATTAATTATTATTTATTTTATGTATGTATGTATTTATTTATTATTATTCTTATTATTAATTCAGTGATTAATCCTACACACACACCAGCCTCCCATGGAAATCCATCCCCCTCCGTGTCCTCCCTCAGTGACACACGTCCCCCGTGTGACACTGGGTGACACAGCCGTGTTCTCACCC